CTCCAGCCTCCCCCTTCCCCATTTCTGAGTTAAAGGCTATTCAAGTCCTTTGCCTCCCTGCCTTCTGCCCTTGCTCCCTTCTCCTGCCTTCCCCATCCCCCTATTCTGAGCCAAAGACACTTCCCCCACTTCTGAGTCAAAGGCTTTTCAAGTCCTTTGCCCCCCCATCTTGCACCCCTCTTCACCCGTCCAGCCTTCCCTCACCCCAACTTCTGAGTCAAAAACTATTTGCATCCTTTGCCCCCCTGCCTTCCACCCCTGCTCCCCTTTCCAGCCTCCACCCCCTCATGCCCCCGTTCTGCTGCAAAGACCCTTCAAGTATCTAGAGGCAGCTTTATCCTTGAGACAGGCATGTGTCCGCCTGCCCCAGACACTGGCTGTGCAGCTCCCAAGTCGCCTCCCTGCAACAGTTGGGATGACTGCTCATTTTAAGGGAGATCTGCCACCTCTCTTGTTTTGGAGGCCGGGGCCCAGAAACAGGCATGTGTTTGTTTTATTTTTGTGAATGAGAGTCAGGGGGTGTTAGGAAAGAATTCTGTCCCCCAACCTGGGGCTCCTGTCCCTTCTTGCTGTCGTATGCCTCAGCAAAGCCAGCTCTGAAATGCATCAGCTCCCAACTTTACAAGCAGTTAGGTACAAATCTGCCCAACTGCTTGGAATGCGTTTTGGGGAGCGACAGGTAGGGACAGCCATGTGTGGACCCATGGCATGTGACTTAGAGAGAAGATTAGCTGGAAACCTCCATTTCATGGTGGTGAGCGGCAAGTTATATGCTAAATTGATTTTTTGAATGTGTAGTGTTTCCCCCACCATGCCAAACCAAACCTCACCGCAAAAAAAAAAAAAAATTAAACCCTGGCTTTGTGTGTTAAGGCAGCACAGCAACAGCCTGACTACTCCAGTTATACATTTGGAGGCATGGTGAAGATTATATGATGTGCTATGTGAAGTTATGCTGGGCTGCATTGAGGCATGCCACTTGCATGGCATGAAATAGACAAGTCGGGATGTAACGTGACATTTCACAATACACTATATCATAACATGTCAGGAGCCTGAATTTCTTGAAGTCAGTCTTACAGTGTCCACTGCAATACCTTCGGAGCATGCATTGTATAACAACCCCCAAAAAAACCCAAAAAAACAAAACAAAAAAGGAAGGATAGATGCAAAAATTGAGCAGAAAAAGGATCAAGTTCTTTACAAGAAAAAAAAAGGACTCTCTGGAACATTTACAAAAATTTCAGAGGTGTGGCACTTGCAATCTACACCTATTAGACATTCGGCTGTAGAATAGTATGTTTACATTGCTCCCTCAGGGAAAAACTAAAGACTGTCAATATTTTTCTGTTTCTGAATGTCAGACCATCGAAAGGTAATGTCAGTGTTTCAGGCTCTAGGCAGTGCCTCTCCTAAAATGAGAAAATAATTAGAATTGTGTTGGAATATATTTTTAAGGGACTGCCCTCTTTTTACTACCCAAGGATATAAAAATAAACCCAGTGAAACATTTATCTCATTTTCACAAAAGCCCCATATAGTACTAGCACCATGATCCACCTAATATTTACTGGGTTTTTTTCCATTTTTTTGTTATTGACATATTACAGTAATCAGCAAATAGATTTAATGAGGCTAGTCTCGGTAAGAACCACTGAAATGTTACTGACAAATAAGAAAACTCCAGGGAGGACAATTTTAATTCCTTCATTTTCCAGTGTCTCTGAATTGCAGTCACATCCAGTATGTGCACATTCACTCAAACAGTCATCGGATAATAATGATAATGGATTTTTTTCCTCTGTACAGCTATCTCTAGAGATCTGTAGTTTTATCAATAGAATAGTGGCACACAAATAAATGTTACTCTGAATCTTTCCACAAGCCAACTTCTGCATAAGATCTATCCTATCAGGACTTGGAAAGTTCTGTCAGTATTTGATACAGCCTCCTTTTATATAGTTGAACCAACCCACAACACTTATTTATTTATTTTTTGAGGTAATGAACACCAATGGCATTTAATTCTGTTTACTCTTTTTATTAATCGGACACTAACAAGAATATCATATACATTCCCTCCAATTCTTATTTATCTAATTAATTGCAGTATGCCTTCTGCAGATGCTTATGCCTTTGTTCCAAGTATGTTTCTGTTTATAGGTAGGGTATGAGGACACAGATAGCTGCCTAAGCAAACCCATGGACCGCTTAAGAGATTGGTGACAAGTATTGGGTCTAAATAGACCAAAATAGGAGTGGGAGGCTTGTTGCTGTCCATCCTATGCATGTGGTGATATGGCGTTGCATCATTTTGGGGTGACAGGACCCAGCAAGAAAATGGGGACAACCTAAGTGTTTGTGCTACTCCCATCTGGCTGTGTCTGAACAGGTAAGAGGGACCAGAGAAAAGAGGTATCTGAGAGGAGGAGTTCATGCTCACAAGCCAAATGAAAGCCAGCTTAGCCAAAGGAATGTTTTTGTGTGTGTACAGTGTGCAGAACAGTGGGGCGATAGCACCATTGCCATTTAGACGTGACTAGGTTGCTGATCATATGTAGAAATGTCCTGCAATCCCTTCAAAGGGACAGCCCTTCAGGTTGGGTTCCTCGCATCGGTGACTGCTATTGCTGCCTTGTCTCCTGGCTGGAGGATGGAGGAGCCCCAGAAACTCCCCAGCCAGGTAACAGTTTCTCAGGCTGAGTATATTCCCAAGTCCTCTACCAACTCAATCCTTGCTTCACCACCCAAGAAGGAAAAGGAGAATACTGAGGAATTAGAGCAGCCTCTATTCAGAAAAGGGACAGGGGAAGATTTCACATTCTGCTTTTGGAGTGGAGGAAGGAAGATACACTTCTGCATTGTATCTCATGATCAGGGAGACTATGCATTCAGCTCAGTGACTGGGATTGGAACAAAGTTGAATACGAAAAGTTATAATCGCCCAATGACTTTTTGGTGACCTACCTAAAACAGTCATTGGATTATCATAACCAAAATAGTTTGGTTGTCTAGTTCAGTTCCTGATGAGATGTCCACATCTTCATGCTAACTACGAAAAAGATAACTTTATAGCAATCTGGGAAGACAGAGATGGAACAGAAAAGAACAGAATGGAGCCTGCTACCAGCCCAGTTCAGGCAATGCTATCAGAACCAGAGCCGTAGGAGTCCCCCACAGTGGACCAAGTTGAGTGTTAGTGTGACGTTAGCTGCAAAGATTCCAGTGCCAAATACTGCTGAGTGTACTAGCTGCTACACATTGACTGGGAGTTCAGTGATGTTAACTAGTACCCTCTAGAGAGTCAGGATATCTTGCCATTTATCCCAGTCTTGGCTGGAACACAAAGCTGATTACCCTTTTCGTATTTAAGAAGAAACTTCCAGCTGCTGCTCCCCTAATTCTTTCCACAAATATGTAAACCAATTCTGCATATACTCACTCTTGATTCCTGAACTACCATACCAGTTTGTGCAGGATATGGTAAAGGGGAAAAATCAGTTAAATCTTAGACCTTCTAAAAGGTGGCCCAGGCCTGACCAAACAGATTTGTAGGCCTCGGAGAGATGCAAAATGTCTCTCAGTTTGAAACATCCTACTAAGAAAGCAATGGAATTTTATACTTCAGTTCTGTGCTGTTCCTGTTCTGGAGCTGAATGCAGAGCAGTGTCATCTGGCACTGCCAATCCAGAACCTCTCTTTCTCAAAAGCTACTATTTGGGGAGAGAAGGAAAAGAAAATTATGTTTTAACATCTGTTTTAACTCTGTTTGGAGAAGCAAAAAGGCACTTGGACATTTAGTCTGGATATGCATCTGAGCTTTTGAATAATTATGGAAAACTTATTTAAATCTTTCTTTGGTTTTGAAATGAACCTGAAAATACTGAAAGAGCGTCTCCCATTTTTATTGTGGTATTTCTATTGGCAAGAGGAAATCAGGGAGTTTAAATGCACAGAAAATCTAGACACATTTTTCCCCTTTGCCAGGATATTTTCAGACTTCAAAAATGTTTGACCCAGGACTGGCTGAAGTTTGAGGCTAAGGTGTGGGTCTTATTTTTTGCGTTCAGTCGCACTTGCCATGAGCCAGCTTTATTATGCTGCTGCACATTTACGTTAAATTAGCATCCTTTTTTAAAACAAGAGTTTTCTGCTTCACCTATAATATTTTAAATATAACAAACAAGAAGTTCAATTTAAGGTCATCGAGCTAATAAACAGTAGCGTGCCTTATAGCATAAAACAGTATCCATTTACAATTCGTATATATAAAGATATAGAGGTAATAGGTTTTTAGGGAAAACTACACTAACTTTACATTTTCTGCAATGGTGCTTATATACCATCTCTTTCACATAGGCTAGCCCCGCTTATATAAGATAGATGTTTAAACATTAGAATACAATATTTAAATATGAACTATACACCTCCTAATTACTGCAAACTCAGGTTAATAGCAGGATTTTGTAGCCATTATACCCTGGGTTTGGAATTGGTTGCAGCAGGATTTTTCATTAGTTGTTACATATGTATCTGTACCTATCTTATTAGCATATTGTATGTACTATATTCTACAATTTCTTCATTCTGATTATAGATGATGAAATTTTTCATGGAGAAAATTCTGCTATAGTTCAGAGTTTCTCTTATCTATAATTGTTATCATATAGATATCCTCACTACATAAGCCATCATTTTCATAAGTCAATGGGAGGTTTTGGCTGCTAAACACGTCTGAAAAATTAGCCTTTTTTAAGACTCGGAAGTGTAATATTTGGCACCCATTTTTTAGAATCTTGGCTACTTTTTAGCTATTGGCAAGTACATACCCACTCTACAACTATGAGATTGAATGTTTAGAGTTGAACGTAGCAAATATTTCACTGTTTATCCCAAAGTCTGAAAAGCACTTCTAAGTATGAACAAAGATATAGGATAAAGATAA